CTCTCCCTAATTCACCCCCTTACGAGTGAATTTTAACCCCAAAAGCTGAGCTTGTCCGGGGAAAGGGACGGTTATTATTATTATTTGCCGTGGCGCTCCGGGGCGACTTAAAGATGATTGATGGTGCCATTTGACTTACAGGTGAGGAAAACCCGGAAAACCTCACCCACCATCATCGAGACGGTAATGTATGGCGAATTTTTTTAATCTGCATGTCATATCAACAGAAATTGAATTTCTATTAATACGCCACACATCAAATCCTAAACCGAACCATGCAATTTAATTAAAAATCCACATGGTCTGGCCTGGGATTCGAAACCCAGCAGTCTCAGACTCATAAACTTGCCTATAAATGAATATAAGCGCGATAGACCGCTACACCACCGTGCCCGATACATTCTTGATACATTAGACTCGAAGTTGTGCATTTTTAAAAACGTCATGAAGTTCTAAAACGAATAGCTGTGTTGACAGGTAGGGCAAATACAATAATTTTATAAGGTGACTGGTGTATACATACAGAGTAAAATAAAAAATAAAACTAGGAGTTGTATTTAAAATGTGCAATCTGAGATTATATTAATATTGTTATTTATTATTGGTCTAGCGCTTTCGGGACTCTATAAACAGATTAAGCATATCAAGAACACATATGCCCTCGTGTGCCAACTGATGAGTTCATAACCTCCATCGATCTTAGATAGCTTGACCCATTTTGAACCAAAGGAGCTGCTGTTATACGTTAACAGAATGGTCTTCGAATCAGGACGGTACCACATATACCTAGGGTTGGATAGTATTTTTTTTTATTTAGCCAGATGTGCTCTGTAGGAGACGATATTTTGGAAGACATCGTCAATGACAAATGACATGTCTGTGTCGATATAATGACAAGACAATGACGTATCTAATTTTAAACCATTTGTTTTAACTCCCACTATTAAAAATACACATTTCTACTTTAACTACTTGATATAACTGTTGGTTTATAATTTACATACTTTATATTATAAGTTAATACTATAATCGTTGTTTGGATCATTTTTACCTTTAACGAGAATTGTCAATAGCAAATTTAAACCAATGAAATAGAGGAATGGTGAATTTGATCTATTAATTTTTTCTTATTATGCATATTATATTGTTAGATATTTCTTTTCATTTTTAGTTGAGTTTAGGTTTTATAATGTTCAGTTGAAAAGAGTAGTTTGCAGTTTTTGAAAATAAAAGGTTTTAAAAAACGAACTTTAAGTTACTAAAATATTATTCACTTATACTTCAATATGGTTAGTAAACCCATAATATAATATCAAATCATTGATTGTGTTATCCATTTTAGTATTTCAAAATGCTATTCCTGTCGATTTGTAATACGATTGCCGCTTTCTACAAAATATTCACAGGGTGGCGAATAATTAAAAATCTTCATAACGAAGAAATTTGCGCTTAAAAGTTTCAATTTGATCATCAAAAATATAAAAATGTACTCAGACAAGAGGACTCTGGTAATATGTCAAATCTAGGGCGTAGATAAGGAGGGGGTAATGGGGGTAATTACCCCCCAAGCCATAGTCAACATCAATATTTTTTAAACGTTATATTAAAAAAAATAGAGAGATAAAATAAATACAATAAAACAAAGAGTTTCTCAAACATTGTCATCTAAGATAATAATATTCCTGCAAATTGAAAATTAAAATTATATACAGGGTCCCATTAAAACGTAATTGTTCAATATTTCAATTTGTGTTATTGACAAGCAAACAAGTTTTAATAAAAATTATATGGATTTAAAAAATAGATAGTTTAAAAATATTTTTGGATATACAGGGTGTTGCGGTTTTCCCTGACAAATAAAAATGTATGTTTTTTAAATAGAACACCCTATATTTTATTTTATTTTTAGAATGGCCTGGGAATAGTGTATTTTACCATAAAATGTTTTTGAAAAATATTATAGTGTTGCCAAACAATTTTTTTTTAAATTAGAGAATGATGTAGACTCCAAATTAAATTATCAAAATTTAGGTAGGTTTACATAAATTTCAAAATTGTTTAATATACAGACTTATAAAATACTAAGCTAACGAATAGAGCTAATACAACTGGTTTATTCTATACAGGTGTTAAATATGGCTAATTTTAAGTTCAATTTAGTCAATTTTTTTAAACGTAACACGCTGTATATTATCTTGGCATAAAATTCCCTATAAATTTGCCCATGTAACAATACCAATGTTAGTCAATTAGACATATACAGGGTGTCCCATCAGTGCATAATTGATCGATAGCTGTTTTATTATTAGAAATACGAAGAAATGTTTAATATAAAAGTTGTATGACCATATTTAACAAATATTCTTAAATATACAGGGTGGTTCATAAACGAGGTGCTGACCAAATCTATACTTTTTTAAAGCAAAACACCCTGCAGGTAGTAATATATATTTAATTGTTTTTATATCGTTAATTGACTTCATTCATTTGCTATGTTGAAGGTGAGGTTACGATTTTCTCAATTTTTTAAATGGAATACCTTGTATTAATTAATTGGTGGTATGACATATAGGGTATTCCATTTAAAAAAATGAGAAAGTCGTTACCCCTCATTTTGAAATACCCTATACAGGGTGTTAAAAAAAAGTGTCACAAAATGAAATGGTGAATAGTATGACCCAAAATAAGCAGAAAAGTCTTAATAAATATATGACCGCAAATTAACGGTTTCGGAGATACGGACCATTTTGTGTTTATAACAATTTTTTATTATTATAAAAAAACAATGATATTTATAAACAATCAATAACAACATAGAGTTAAATGAGATGTTCAAAGTGCCCTCCCTCCATTTCAATGCATTGCCATTTGCAGGACCGTACATAAAATGCATGTCAGCTAATTCAATATTAGTGTAAACAGGCATAACGAAAATTTATAAAATTATTCACCCACAACAAAATAATAAGTGCAAATAGTATATATGAAAAAACATCGGTAGACTCCGATAAGAAAAGCAAGTTTTTGAGAATGAAAAAAGATAATCAAAAAATGATACAAAACACTCCGTATCTCTGAAACCATTCATTTGCGGACATATGTTTATTAAGACTTTTCTGCATATTTTGGCCCATACTACCCCCCGTTTTATTTTGTGACACTTTTTTTTTAACACCCTGTATACAACATAGCAAATAAATGAAGTCTATTAAAGTTGTTTGACGATGTGAAAACAAACATAAAAATGTATAAGTTTGGTCAGCCTCTCGTTTATGGACCACCCTGTATATTTAAGAATATTTATTAAACATGGTCATACAACTTTTATATTCATTTGTTTTTCCTATTTCCAATAATAAAACAGCTATCGATCAATTACGTAGTATTGGGACATGTTGGTATCGTTGGATAGATAAATTTATAAAGAATTTTATGCGAAAATAATATACAGTGTGTTGCATTTGACAAAATTGAGTAAATTGAACTTAAAATTAGCCATATTTATGACATGTCTCACAATACTCTGTATAAAATAAATCAGTTCTATCATCTCGGAAATGGAATAGTCTACAAAGATCAACTAGAAGTCCCTTTTTTGTGACAAATGGCGTGAGAAATATTTATTAATCTTAAGTTTTATGAAATGTAAGGTGTTCAAAAAGTTTTGAATAAAATTGTTTCTTTAGCCCTTCATTCTACGTCAATGGGTTATGCTAATATATCGAAATAGTGTGTTAACTAATAATAACGATTACCTATCATATACATTTTTTTACTTTTTTTACTGTAAGGGAAGATATTATTTAGAAAATATGTATTTATGAAATTCGCTTTATCATCCTGTAGAATGAAAACTGGGACGTTTATAGGAAAATTATATTCAGCTTTTCTTTATAATTAAGATCTACAAATCCCCAAAATTAGGGTACTTTATTCTGAAACACCCTGTATAAATATTTAAAAAATTAAAAACTTAATTATAAAACTCACTCTTTTTTCTGGAAATACAAATATGAACTCTAGACGTTGCATTTGTACCATATTCTAAGATAACATGCTGCGCATTCACCAATAATGTGAAAAGTGTTACCCCCCCCCCCCCCCCCCAAAAAAAACCTAGCTACGCGCTTGTGTCAAATACAGTTGTCTATTCATTGTTTATTTGGTTATACTAGAAGCAATTGATTCTGATGGAAAATAATTCTCAAAAATTACAAACCAAGATATATAAAAAAATTGTATAATTTAAACTAACCAAAAATATATAAAAGAAATGTTATTATCATTTGGCGTCACAAGCTGAACATACTAAAGAATATCTAAATCTTTGCCCTCTGAGTTTATGATAGTTTTTCCTGCGACTGAAAAGACACCTATAGTCCAGGATCCGTAAATAAGGTCGATCTTCACCCATCTGTTTAATAGATAAAAGTTTTTTTGTATTAAACAAAATATGTTTTTAAATATACCGCAAATGGGTTGCCTAAGAAAATACGGTCAGGGCCATTTTTTTGCTTTCCTTTCTGTGTACAGATTAGGAAAGTAGAGGAATCATGATAAAAGTTGCTTATGATGCCATTCTCTATTATTTTGTTCCTATACATAATTTCTCTAAAATGGACCTAATTCGAGATATTTGAGGAAAACTGCAAATTTCGAATTTTGAAGACAACCCAAAAACGGATAAAGAGGAAAACACCAAATTTTAAACTTCAGCTTTAATCTATCCTGCGGTAAGCTGATTAAAGTTTAGGCATTGTCGAAGCATCTGGGGAATAATTTACAGGGTGTCGTTTTTTTATTTTAAGAAAATAAATAGTCTGGTCTTGTTTATAAAAATATTTTATTTAATAAAAAGAAACTTTCATCCATTAAACAGATGGGTGAAGGTCGACCTTACTTCGGATCTTAGACTACTAGTAAACATAAAAATAAAAAAAAAATGTTATGACTTTTTAGCGTCACAGGCTGAACAACTTCTAAACCATTTCCCTTTGAGCTTATGACAGTTTTTCCTGTGACTGAAGAGACACCTAGTAAACATAAAACTAACGTCGCAAATTGTGCACATCAAAGGTCTGACCCATTCATGAAAATTGACGTGTTCCACTGCGTCAGTTCTTCTAGCGAATCCGAGTTTGCAAACAGGACATTTGTGCATCGGTCCGTCCAAGTGATTTTTAATATGTTGCTGAATTTCTAGCAACGCCATCTTGGATTCCATACCACACATATAGCATTTGAATTCTCCGTCTTTATGGTGGTCAACGATGTGTAGAGCGTAGTTGTAGTGGTCGTCAAAAGTGCTCTCACATATATTACAGGGGATTGGTTCGATAAGCTGTAAAGGAATCGGCAAATGTTTCGATACCTTTACGCTGCATTCAGGAGAAGGATTGCACTTCTTTTTATGCATTTCCAGGCTGCAGAGGAAGAGAAAGCTCTCGCCGCAATTAAAGCAAGTAGAAGAGGAAGCCCCCTTCTTCCCCAAATGCCACCTTTCGTGTTGTATGGCTGCATAATCAGAATAAATCTTCGCGTTACAAAATTCGCACATGTACTTCGGTTTGTTTTCGTGAATTCTAATATGGGTCTCTATCTGATCCGCGGTCATTCTAGCCGTTATGTGACACAAGAAGCACCGAAACACATTATCCAAAGAGTGTTTCAATGAGTGTTTGGCGAAGCTGATGTTATCTTTGAATTTTTTCTTGCAGAAGTTACAGTATGGTGGCGGTCGTTTTCTGCTTTTTGGCTTTTTGTGGGGGACGTCCACATCTTGAGAAACAATTATGTAAATGTTTTCTTCGACAGTCTCGTCTTGATCGACCCTAAAATAAAAATATGTTAGACATTTTGTATCAGCGATAATAATATTAGTATTTTACCTGCTAATCTGCCAAGAAATAAATATATATCGCTCGGATTTAATTTGCGTATACAAAGATTTCGTAAATTCAGACATTTTGAAATGCAAATTAACTTGTCAACAGATTTATAGATAGTTAAATAAATAATATCCCATGACTACTTATCACGGCAAAGCACATTAAATTAACGAAACATTCCTAGAGTTATCTCTTTTATAGATTTGACTCTATGCACGTATTAACTTGTATGTTTGCGATGCCACCGCACTTGCTCTATAAACAAGTCATTTCAAGTTTTGCGGATTTGCCTGAATATTATAAGATATTTTACTTAGCTAAATAAAATATTTATTCATGGAAACATATATTGTATTTTATTATATTAAATTCCTAAATAGATACCCTATAGGCACATAATATTTTAAAAACATTATTTTTTAATATTTCTAAAAGATTTATTTGAAATTTTTATTAACTTTTATAAATACTTTTTTTATTGAAAAATTGGTGGTGATAGAGTAGGGGCGATGCTCTTGATTATTGCCTTAATGCCCCTATTTATCTGTGGATCGGCTACCGACCCCATAGAAAGTTCCAGCGCCCATTGGGGCGGACGGTATCGCCCCGTTGGGAAAGCCTCTAGCTAGATGACAAGAATTTTTATTTCAGACTGGCCGTTTAAGCAGCATTCTCAAAAAATCGAATTAAAAAAATGCCCCTAAAAAATGCAAGTCAGATAGCTCAGGAGCAAATGAAAAATATCAAAAAGAACCAATATACCAATTTGTAGTGTTATTTAAATTTTTCACAGGCAAATCTACTGTATTTCCTGGCTTATTTAGTAATTACGGCTTTATAGTACGTCCAGTTTTAAGAATAAGTTAGTTGATTTATGTTAATTCTCTATTTTTTAGAAACTTTAATAAAATGTATAACGAAACGGGCCATTTTATTAAAAAAATATGCTAACCCAGAGCTAGTTTCACTAAATCTCTTTGCACATAAAAATTATTATTAAATGTTTAAAATTGTGTATACTATAACTTAAACCGAATACCTATAATTCATATAAAGTCTTTGCTATTGTCAGCGGAGCAATAAATTAAGACAAACTTTTTCAGAAAAGGTATTTAGGTATAGGGACCACGGTGGTTTTATATTTCCTTTCCACCTATGTATTAGTTGCTGCAGTTTGATTTTTTTACCAAATTTATTATTAGATATTTTTTACCAATTCTGTTATTTCGAAAGCAGTCTGTATTGGAAAAGGGATATACTCGTATGAAGAGTATGGTTTGGAAAATGCGGGTAAAAATAGGTATAAGTAAACTCTGTACCATATGAAAAACTTTTATATTATTGACTTCTCAGAAATACCATGTTCGAGGTTAGTCACAGAATCCAGGTGAAATTCTAATTTTACATTTTTTTTTGGGAGAAATTTAGCTATTTCAAGCGACACACTAACTTGTTTTCGAAAAATAAATAATAGCAAAGTTTTTCGAATAGTGTCAGTTTTTCGGTTTCAAAAAATTTGAACCTCATGGAAAAAAAAAATTATTGATTTTTAAGAAAAAATTATTCTTGTTAAAGAAGGTGGTTTACGAAAAACATCACATTAACTCAAAAAAAATTCAAAAAAACTGCTATGTACGAGGAAAATAAAAAAATATAAACTGCTCACGGAATTAGTTGGTACAGCTAATTTTATCGTCATTTGTAGGAGACTTTATCTCGGAAACGCCTTAGCCGATTTTTTAACATGACGAAGATTCTGAAAGTCCATTATTTCTTGTATCAATGGCTTGATGTGATCTTAAACAAAAAGTGACGTTTCAGTGTTGTACAGGGTGTGAAATAATACAATGTAAAAATGTAAATTTTTAACTGCTTGCACCTGTTGCAAGAGTATTATCAGAACTTTCATCGTAATCACATTTAGAAGTTTCGGTCGATATGTCGGGACGTATTTGACAGTTTTGTATTTTTTTGTTTAGAAAAAAAGTTACAGGGTATTTTCAAAAAGTCCGCATTAAAATTAAATAAGTTTATTTTACTTCAATAGAACGGCATGAAACACAAATTTGAAAAAGCTAACCTAACCTGTCCATAGCATATAAGGTGTCCCAAAAGTCCCGGGACAAGCTAATATTTCAAAAAACAGCTTACATTTAAATGATAAAAAACAGAGAGAAACAATATTAACCAATAATTTAGTATCGACTAGGCCCACCTCGTACTCGCAAAAGTTCTGCTGTTCTTCTCGGTATACTGTCCACCAAGTTTGTAATAAACTCTTAAAGAATAGCTTTCCAGACCTCTCTAACTGCAATCCGAGAATACCGATCAAGGAGAAGCGACAGCTTGGTGTTTTCAGTGTACCGTTTTGATACGCGCATGTGCGAAAATAAGTTGTGTATCACTCAAAATTATGTTATCTGTCAAAGTCAGTCCAAGTTGTGTTTAGTCTGTGAGCTGTTAAGTGATATTTTTTGGTATTTCTTTGTGTTGTAATAGAATGTCTGGATCTGGATATTTTTGTGCATACCGTTCTTGTTCGTCCAAAACTGGCCAAGGATTAAGTTTATTTACTTTTCCAACGGACTACGAACAGTAAATACAATGATTATTAATTGATATTAACCCTAACTACTTCAATGTAATTAAATCACATTACAACATTTGCGCATGGACTATAACAATGATTTCAGATAATTTGCCAAAAACTATTTCGCTCAGTGTAGAAAATAAGTATGTTTTCTCAGCGTATTAAGTTGTGTATTAATCAAAGTCATGCTGTGAAAAAGGTCCATCCGATATCAAAGGCACCGACAGCTACTGTCGCTTCTCCTTGATCGGTATTTTTGGCTGCAATTGTCAAATATTTCAAATTTTGTAATTCTTGCTCTCTTTGATTTAGTTTTGGTTTCATTCTGCTCCACTCGTGTTCAATTACATTTATATCCGGCGACCTAGTAGGCCAATTCATTCGCTCGATACCATTCTCTCCCAGACATTCTTGGACAATTTGAGCCCTGTGTAGACGAGCATTATGGTCCACCAGAATAAAATCTACGCCAAAGTTTTGAGCAAAGGGAACAACAATCTCATTCACACATAAACACGATACCCAACGCCATTCAAACTTTGTCCAATTAAAACTATCAAAAATCAGTTTTGAAATTCCTCATTACCCCACCCCATACAGTTACTCTTCCTCCTCCAAACGGCACTCTAGCTTCCATGCTTCTTTACAGTGCAAAGCGACATTTATCAGTAAGCATGCAATGTCTCCATTCTGTGTCGCATTTAGAGTTCTTCTCCGTCTGACAGATAGGTTCATCAGACGATTTTCCGTGGGGGTCATACATCTTTTACGACCGCATTGCCGAATTTTTCTATATACAGGAGTACCATGATTTTGGCTTCTTTCTATCGTCCTTTGAACTGTGAATCTTGATGTCCCCACCAAGTCAGCGATATGTTTTAAACTCAATCCTCGTTGTCGCAATCTGTTTGAAATACCTTTTTTAATGAGGCCCTCTTAAATTGCATTATAAAACTTACCGCATAATGTTTCGTAACTCATTTTCACTTAATTAACTCTGATGCCTTGGTAGGATTCCCCACTCGACCATTCACTGTTGGGTTCTAATTAACAGTGCTGTTCCTAAAGTGGCGCTGGGAAACAAGTAACAAAGCCTACACAGAACACGAGGCGAAATAACCCTGGAAGTTGAAGCCGATGACACACCAAAAAAAAGGCATTTTTAAGATGAACTACGTAATGAAAATTATTGCAAGGTTACAATTATTTAAATGACAATTACTGTCATATCCATAGCCTACTAAACGAATAAAAGTTTTGAATGGATGGCAAATTTCACCAGATTGCAGCAATGAGAACTTAAATTAACAGCTGACTTAATAGGATCATCAAGATTCATATTTTGAAGGATAATTTTAATAAAATCAAGATAATAAGGTCCACAGGAGTTTCACATCAAATGAAAGAGCTCCTAGAGATTAATAATTTTTGTTATTTTAAAAAATGCGGACTTTTTGAAAATACCCTGTAACTTTTTTCTAAACAAAAAATACAAAACTGTCAAATACGTCCCGAGATATCGACCAAAACTACTAAATGTGATTACGATGAAAGTTCTGATAATACTCTTGCAACAGCAGTTAAACATTTACATTTTTACATTGTGTTCTTTCGCACCCTGTACAACACTGAAAAGTCACTTTTTATTAAAGATCACATCAAGCCATTGATACAAGAAATATGGTTTTTCAGAATCTTCTTTATTTTTAAAAATCGGCTAAGGCATTTCCGAGATACAGTCTCCTACAAATGACGATAAAATTAGCTGTACCGACTAATTCCGTTAGCAGTTTATATGAAATCACAGCCTCCTATTTCAAATCAACATTTTTTCATTGTAGGAAAGTTTGAAGTGAACTGTTTTACATATGTAATTATTCCACAGATTATTCTAGCCTATGTAATTGTTTTTAGTTAAAATAGTTGAATTAACTTAGTTAAACTTTTTAAATAGACTTTAAACAGATAAACAATTACGTGTTTTCTTGGTGCAAAGTTGGTGGTTTAAAATTATTTAGTAAGCTTTTTTGCAACTACTTGTATCAAAAATAGTATAGATATGGGCTTTTTAAAGAAAATCACAAAAAATCAGTCAGTGGATTTGAGAGTATGTTTCATTTTTTAAAACTGAAATTTTCAAACGCCGTATCTTGCTCATTTATAAGCGACCAATATGGTATATGTAATATGCCATTTTGTCATCTCATTGAGTAGATTCCGAATTAGTGAAACTAATTTAAAAACAGCATAGAAATGCGTTTAAAGAAAATCATCCTGATTTCTGACAAAAACTTCAAAAAATGTTATGTCTTAAACTAGGTTAAATCCATTATTTAAAAAAAAGTAATATTATATAGGGTTAGAATAATATGTAGAAACTAATTTCATATGTAACAGTTCATTTTGAAATTTGTTACGAGGAATATTTTAGAAAAAATATTGAATTAATATTTGAGCGTAAATATTGTTTCTAAACAAGTTTTTCAATTAACATTTTTTTATATTGTTTAAAATAAGGATACTTTACTCTAGAACCAAATTCATATTTTTACGCTAATTATTTATTGTATTATAATTATATTATTAGTATTATAATTTTATTATAATTTTCTTATAATAAATTAATAATATTATAAACAAAATATTAAAATTTATGTCATGCAATATTAAAAAGTAGCAAAAAAATAATATTCTTACTTCATCAAAAACTTCATTCAAATTAAGTCATTTATACATGGTTTTAAGAGAAGCACCAACTTTTATAAATATTTTTTTCTTAAAAATGAATAATTTTTGTTTTCCATTTAGTGCAAACTTTTTGAGACACACTGTACGAGTATATAGGTCTTTTTGACTGTATATAAAACAAAACAGATTGACAATGTTTTTAACTTAGACTTTATTTTTCCTCATTAGTATACACATGACTACTAGGCTAAATGTATTCTTTAACACTAGTTTAGCATATATCATTTCTATAATTAATTGTAACATTAGAGAAAATAAATAGTGACAGTAAACTAAAAAAGAATGGAGAATTTGGTTATTGCTTCAAAAAACAGTCTTTAGTATATTTTGGTGTGCAGAATCGAAAAAACGGTATTAAAACATATTCCATATTTATGGCACAAATACCAGTTTAAAAATGTTTATAAAAGAACAAGTGATATAAATTATTATATTAGGAAATTTTTTTATACTGTATTCTCCATTTTGCATCAGTTTTGAAGATGAATCCAAATTTCCGATACCTAAACAATATGAAGAGGTAGGTAACACTGATTTATTAAAAAAAGAAAATAACACATACACTAAAATAAAACCTAAAATAAAATCAGTCAAAATAATTCTAATATTAAAAAGCTTCATATATACGAGATTCTTTCGTTCACTTTTTTAATATTACAATATAAATAAGTTAATTATTTATTTGGTTATTACAGTTAGAGATCAATTTAATATTTTTGATACGTTTTTTTTTATTGTTTGGGCGATAATTCATCGCCAATGGTTAGGAAAAGAATCAATCTATTTAAATTTACACAAAAAAAGAAAATACTGAATGTTAATACCTATTTGCAAAAAGAAGAATTAATTAATTAATTAAGAATTATATTTGCTTATTTTGGCTCAGTAGCAAGAGGTTAGAACCTATTTCTAAAATTGTCAGTTTTATATAATGTATTCTTTTCATTAACCATTAAGGCAGATTTTTTCAAAGTATTATGAATAAAGACGTAGAACCAAATATGATATAAATGCTTTTCAGTGCTAATATAACAAGTGCTATAAAAAATTTTGTAATCCAATAAATTTGAAGTATTAAAAACAAAAACATGTAGTAATAATTTGGTGTTAGATAATAAAAAATTAAAATTGACCCCACATTTTCTCACTGTTTATGAATTGTATCTGAGCCCATTTTATGAAATGAATAAATTTTTTGGACACAATTTAATCAAGTTCCAGATTTTATGACAATGGAATTTAGAAAAACAAGATTTCAATCACTAGAGTCATCAAAACTTACATATAGGCCAAAACTCAGGTTTATATACCCTCACTTCTGGTAGAAACAAACATTAAAAAACAATGGTTATAATACCTGTGGTACTGCAACAAAGATCATAGAATATATTAACGTGAAGCCCTCAAGTCACTACCTGTCAGAGATAGAAGGAACTCCATAAAAGATAAACAATTATGCTACAACTGTATGGCTCATGAATCCAAATACAATTGTAAAAGATGCACCTAGACAACAGAGAACGAACAGATCAAAATACAAACCCAGACCTAAAAAGCAACAACGGTTTAACTTCAAATCGAAGCTCATATCAATCTAATTCAACAATAGTATTTCAGCATGTAGGAAAACAAGAAAGTGAAGTACTTTTGCCAACCTCAATAATACACGTACAAACCACTGATTCGTATCAATTGAATTCAAGCACCAAACGTCAGCATGTAGGAAAACAAGACAATGAAGTTCTTCTGCCAACAGAGACACGTCCAAACCAATAATAGCAAAATGATACTTTTAAAATTTTAAGAGCCCTTCAACTTCCTTTATTACTGGAGAAGCTACCGAAATGTAAGCCGTTCTAAGAGAAAAAATCGAAACAGATGGAGAGCCAAATGTTAAAATAAAGAATTCAAGCGCAGCTCAAACCAAGGTTCTACAATAACTTTTCCTTAAATGTGATAAAAGTGATAGTTATGTCAAAGTTAACACAAGCTATACACACCCTTGAAGAACAAGCTATCAGCCGATCCAACATTCTGCAAAATATGTCCAATAGATTTATTGCTCGGAGCAGAAGAATCTAGTAAATTGATTGGTCTTCACAATTCAAGCGACGGAGTCATTGGTCAAAATACAGAATATGGATGCATTATCTTCCAAAAAACAATAAAGATAACAAGCGGAGTAGCATGTAACGAAGAAGATAAGAGTTAACCAAATTCTGGGAAATCGTAAAAGTCCTTCTACACGAATATATTTCGAATGTCATCACAATTGCTATTGTGTTAACTACACTAATAGCTCTATGGATAATCTAGAAAAAGATTGAATTTTTTCTATGCTATAGACGTTAAATTTCAAGGAGAGCATTGTTTTCATTTTCATTAGAGACTTTCCCTACACCTTGTTGTTCTTGCTAGAGTTTCTTAACGTAATGCAACTTTTACTGACATTTAATTCAGCACCCACTTAGCTTAAAGACCAATTTTCCCTCTAATTTTGCTACAGCCTTTGATTTTCTCTTATAATAAATGGTTGTTGTATTTTTATATGTTCGAATGTTAATTTAATTTTGCTATAGCTTTTGATTTTCTATAATAATAAACGACGGAAGATACGGTTCTAAAAGTCCATAAAATTGTTTTGAATTTCAAAAGACCGAACACATCACGTATTAAGCGAAATTTGATTGGTACTCATATCGGAGCAAAAGCTCATTCATATGAACGTATCCGAGAGTGTTTGTTGCTATTCCCAATTTTACCAAGAACAAATTAATGTAGCACGTGTTATATTAAAATAATAACAAATTAAAATATTTACTTCAAAAATTGTATAGCTATTGAATTTCATATTTAGTTATAAATCTAGCAATTAAATATGTCGTCTAGCCGAACACCTAAAGCTCCTTATTCTATACTTATTAGCTTTGATTGTAAAGTCCATTTCTTTATTCCAGTCTAGAATTTTTACAATGACTAGTATTAATCTGAACAAATAAAATCAATATTAACTTTCGCAAACCAGGCAAAAGAAGTTCAATAAATTATTGACTTTTATAAATCTAAATTAATTGCATTACTGTTAGTTATAATACCAAAGCCATCTATCTACTTCATTATATCCGAATTTTACATAGAATTCAACTGAATTTTCAAAGAAAGCACATGCTTACCTACAAATTCAAAAATTCATATCTTCCAGAACAAGTTTTCATATGCGTGTCCATAACACCCTTCGATATGAAGCCTTTATTGCAAATTTTGCAAACGTAAGGTCTCTCTCCAGTGTGCGTTCTCTCGTGAATCCTTAAAGGCGACCTTTGAGTAAATCCTTTGCCGCAAAATTGGCACTTATAAGGCTTCTCGCCAGTATGTACCCTTTCGTGTTCCTTCAACTGCTCCTTCCTTGAAAAGCTTTTGGTACACACCTCGCAAGAGTAAGGTTTATAGCCCGTGTGTGTTCTGCGATGGAACTTGAGCTTCTCCTTACTGGAAAGCCTTTTTCCGCAGATGTCACATAGTACCGAGGGATCGACCCCAGAAGCGTTATGCTTGCTTAGGTTATGTCTCTTCAAGCCTGTCGACGAAGTGTAATGCTTATTACAGATTTTACAATCGTACTTGACAAGCGGGCTTCCAGTGACCAGTTCCCAATGCTGAGTGCGTCTGTGAGACGTTAGAAACCAAGAGAACATGAAGTGTTTTCCGCATATATCGCATTCAAAAGGCTTTTCGCCGGTATGGAAGTATTTGTGTTCGATTGCGTGCGTGCTGACTGTGAAAGCTTTATCGCAAACTTCACATTTGTACTTCGTAGTACCTTCGTGAGCTCTAATATGCATTTCAATGTGGTATTTTGAAGAATTTTTGTAATCACAAAGATGACAAACAAATTTGCTATCTTCGCTGTGTTGGTCAGAGTGCAAAGCGAAAGCTACATTGTTTTTATACGTAACATCACAAATTTCGCAGTGTATTGGCTCGTCTAGTTCTACTGGAACCGGAGGAGGACTTTTTCCAGCAGCAGCAGCAGCAGCTTTGGTTTTGTTCTTGGCTTTCTTCTGCAAACAATTGAGTATATTTTCCGCTATTAGTGTAGAAACGTCTGAAAAAGCGGGTACACTCGGTTCCGTTAACGGGTCATCAGTAGGTGAAACAGAATTCATGGTGTTATCTAATGGATTTATTCCGTTAAATCCATTTAAATTGTTGATGTTTTTAGTCACAGTTGGATCGTCATCAGTTGGTTCTTGCTTAATTGGTGTTATCGTTAGGCCTGGTCCGAATAGCAATTTATTTAAAATACTGTTTCCATGATACCTAAAAGAAAATAATGGTGAGTAAAAATGGTTTATTTAAAACATTTAACACAGTTTGTAAAGCTGTGTACATACCTACAGTTGTCAATAGCTACAATTTAAGAATACACTTTCTTTTATTAAGCACAATTGTACTGACATAAAATGCTACTTTTAGCCAGAGGTGCAAAACCATATTTTTAGTACGAAAGAAATTTCCAGGATATCTATGTTTTTAAATTTAATTGTATTATTGTAATTTTTCACGGTATTCTTGAATTGAGGACCACTACCTGAGCAGTTGAAATAACTGTATCGAATTGTGGATCGTACGTGGGATTAGGTAGTTAATAAAGATTGTTTACATTTTAGGCAGCATATGTTATACGCTTCGCTCCAGGCTATGTTAAGGAAATTAGTTACAATGCATATATATTTTTTATGTAAGAGCTCTTTCACATTGGGGTCTATTCTGTAACAATTCCTTTATATTTAACGGTCTTTAAAAATATTGGCGGCCTATAAGAATATGTGCGTATTCGTTAATTTACTTCTGTCATTATTTAAACAGATTTCTTTAAGATAGTCCTCTAATGTATTTTAAAGATCCGTTTAAATAATGACATAAGTAAAGAAGAAAATATTTTTAAAGGCCGTTAAATATAAAGGAATTGTTACAGAATAGACCCCATTATCTGTTTTTTTTTAACGGACCGGTGAAATAACCAATCGAGCAACATATAATTATTCATACGATTCCGGTGAATTTGTTAGATCTAGTTGAACAGTTGTAGCGAGCAGTCGTTGACCACACTATAAAAAAGAACACAAAAAATTAAAAATTATGTATTTGGAAGAACAAAGCCGATCAACAAAATCAAGCCGCAGAGCGAGGTGATATTTGACACTTTGGTGCCCACATGTGCGTATCGAAATGCACTAGAAAGGGTCATCAAAGTTAAATTTAAATTTTGATTAATACGCAGCTAAAACAAATGTTCCAATAATAATAATTATTATTAAAATAGCGCGTTATTAATAAAAAATAATATAATTTGTCGTAGTACGCCTGTGGGAAACGTGATGTAGAATGCTCGAAATTGACAGTCTGGCATCCAAATTGTCATGCGCACCGACCGTTTTTTTCACCCATGTCGGCTTAGAAATTAGGAGTAGGGTTTGTTATATAGCCATCCAGTTTAATATCAAGGTCGGTGCGATACAGGCGCAAGAAATGTCGCCACAGAAGATTTTGGGTGTATCTTTTATGCCGCGTTTGAGAATCCACATCGGATGCATCTGAGATGTAGTAAATCTTTGATCACGTGATTCAGTGTACGTAAATGTAATGGAACAGATGTGTCCGATGCGGATAAAAAAACGCTCGAGATGTAAAAAATGCATCCGATGTGGATTCTCAAACGCAGCAATAGTAAATAAAATCTTTACGTCGATCTCTTACTACGTCGATCTCTTACTCAATTTCACACTGTAGCCCGAGAATAACAAACACAGAGAATCGACAATAACTGTCGGTCCTTTGAAGTTCGGAGAGTAGAAGTTTGTGACCTTGAATTTGACTTATAATACGGATGGCAGGTATAATACACCGAGAAAAAATTAATAGAGCGTAATAAATGCTATATAATTGTACCTTACTTATCGTGCATACAATTTATATAATACAATATTGATTTTTATTACAATAGTTTCTGTCACTTTTAATTTTATTTTCTAAAAACAAAAATAAAAAACATGCTAATAGACCTTTCCCATTATTAATGATATCTATTACTCATTCGCAAATTCCTGTTAAAATTAAAAATGCATTGCTGTTATGTTTCTTACTCTGAGTTCCAATTACACATCCGTAAAAGTCATTTTTAACTTTTATTATTGGTAGAGGAACCAGTGACACTTTTAGGTGTGTTATTTGCGTAAAGCAAAATTACAAATATTTTGTTCATTCTTACCTTGTAGAATATAGACATACTTTGCTGCTAGTGCCTACAGCGATGGAGTCATCGATGAGGACGTCTTAAAAAAAGCCTGTTTAGATAATGCCTTGTGCAAATGTGTACCAAAAAAATGTCACTGGCTCCCATACTATATAAACTAGACGACTAGTTGTTTAAAGTAGCGATGACAGAGGGTAATCTTCGTAGCCAACCCAACAGTTATAAGGCTAGAATAAGAGAGAGATAAAACTGGTTGAATGGAAAATTACTAGAATCAAAAATCCCGCGGTTTTTTCGAGCATGAGTAATGTAAAATTGTTAAATACCGGGAAAGGTGAATTGTCAGTTTTTCAAATAGCAAATAAAACACATTTTTATAAAAATAAAATATATTTTTAACTCAAAACGAATCGGGAAATATCAAGAATCACGACTAAACTAGTTAAACTGGCAAGCTGTCAAGTTATCTGTGTGGCAAGCGTGTTGAAATTGAAATGACAGTTGGCCGGGTTAACCCCCAATAATTTTTTTTGGCGGGAACGGCCTTGTCGCTTCTCTGTGGTTGTTATTCTCGGCCGTAGCTACAACACAACTGAAAGATTGTAGCAAACTTCCTACCGGAACAAGGTAATACGAAAAAGTCTGAACGAGTCAATGAGCCTTCGTATGTTTTTAATAAACAATCTGGTGACGGACGAGCCTATCCGTTGATGCACCGGTATCGGACTAATATTTTTACGGACGTCGATAAGTGTGAATGCTCCAATCCAACTTAGTTTGTTTCTATAGTATCCGATAATTTCAACGGTCCGTCAGTTTGCCTGTCCGTTAAAAATACGGATAGTGTAAAAGAGCATTAAAATTTTTTAGTATCTACTAATTTCCAAAACTATGACAGCCATATTATTTGCCTGTCAAAAATCTTTGGTTCTCAATTCGTATTAGAATGCCAGATATAAAAATACTAATTTTCTTATTGTGGTTCTCAATTCGTGTCTACCTTTCTCATAGTAGAAACTACATTGTAAAATGTTGGGTTAATCACTAATATGGCTAAATGTTCATGATAACGTTGGGTAACATATAGTGCAATAGTAATACGTCGGCAGCCGCGACTATATCGCTTTTTTTGGAAAATTTTATATGCGATCGATAGATAATAGTTAAATATAATTTTCTACACCCGGCTCGAAAATGACTATATCGACGTTGTTTCTATACACTCATCGCTTTTGTAATCAAACTAAATATTGTTGGAAAGATCGTGAAATTTCCAACACGAAAATGCTCGGCTGCCGTGCAAAAGCCTTCGCTAAACTTAGACTGCCATTATTTTGTGGGCGCGAGTTTCGGTCAAAGTAAAGTTAAGTGTCTATTTGAGAGTTACTCTCGAAAGCTCCTCCTGACAGCTAATCTTAGATATTTGTCCATTTGAGGGCACTTTCCTGAATTTTTACTCTCAGATAGCTCCACGAGACAACTTGCTGAGAGTAAATAGCAGCAGTGCTCTCAAAATCATGTCCACAGCAAGTGAATGTTGCGAGTTCGATAGAGAAAGTTTGTAGAACATGATGGTGGAAAAAATCGCGGTATTATCGTTTGTTACAAAATTTTACTTAAGAGGAAGCAAAACACAAGGTGAGAAGAAAATGATGGATCAAACTTTGGATTTTTACATAAAATTATAAAAAAACTTATCCAATTTACCTAACCTGTGCGGCCTGGAGCCATCGCGGGTTGCTTCGTAAAATATTATACATCAAATAAGACAAATTATAAAATAAAAACACTTAACTAATTTACCTAATATGTGTGTGGCCTGGACTATCGCTAGTTGCTTTGCAAAATAAAATTATACACAAAACAAGTATAACTAAAAAAAGAAATTAACTAATTTGCCTAATCTGTGGGGCCTGGAGCGATTTAAATTTCTTTGATCGCTCACGCGCAGATTAAGTAAATTATTTGTTTTTTTTTCTCATTTTGTGCATATTTGGTTTTTCGATTAATTTCTTTTTCTAACAAATCTATTTTGGGTCATTTTTATTTTCGATGATATGTCGTTTTAATTATTTTCCTATTCTATCAATAATTGTTATTTGATATATTGTTTTTTCGATCAAATGCATTCGATCAAATGTTTTTGATCAAATGTATTGGATTAAATGTTTTCGATCAATTTTGTGCCACTCAAGTGTAATAGATTGCACATGACGAACTACTTCCTTGTTCTGCGTGATGTTCAACAAGTGGTTCCAAAAAAGCGTAATACATATCCTATTCATCATAAATGCGATACACAACTTATTTTGCATCCAATATGGGATTCTCCTCTAAATTCTAATTAATTTAACCACATCCTCTTTCGACCATTATATCTTTCTTGCCATTTTTGCTGAGAGCACTCTCATAATACGAATATCATTCGAATTGTGATGGTTGCTCCACAGCTTATACAATACAGCTCCACAACTCCGTGTCGGCGCCTTTGATTTGGCGTTTGAGAACCAAGCAAGACGGAATGGTGCTACCTCTGTTAGATTCGACGGAAAAGTCGCGCCCGGATTAAAAAATATTTTTATTATTGAAATAATTGAAGACCTTGGCGAAATAAGGTTGGTTATATGCCACATTAAGTAAGTTTTGAGAAATTAAGTTTTAAATGTTTTAATTTAGTCAAATATACCTAAATAAAAAAATTATTTAAATATGAATATTACGAAAAATACAACATTTTTCATATTCGAGGTAAAATAATTTGTATGTGGCTAGTAATATGCTTGTTAACAGATGTTTTGAGCTGTCACTTCACGACAAATTGTAGCTTGCATCCTTTTTACACTAAGGTCTTCAATTGTTAACCACTTTTGTCACGCCCGTGGATGCAAATCAAGTGGTACTCATCACGCAAAGGGTTTATACCTATATGAACTGTGATTGGTGGATTTTTTTGAAGTGTTCTCACTACCTAGAATGGATATGAAATATATTTGTTCAGTTGAAGGCAATAGCATACTTTTTCGTTTTGTAATTTGTGCGTAGATAAGCTAATATCCATGTGGGT